TTTATAACTAAATTTTTAAGATCATCAATTACAGCGTACATTAAAATTTAAAGCCCCAATTGGCAATTGCAATTAAAAATTCTGCTAGCTCTTTTCTTCTTGAGACATTTCAAGTGTTTTAGTGTTCGACTTTTTTGCAGGAGCTGTGTAACAAATAATAAGATAGTGTTTGTTCATAAATTTTATGACGATTTGCTTCAGAGGTAGACATGGGTTGGGTTAATCCATGGGTTGGGTTGGGTTTGGTTGGGTCCAAATTTTTTGAAGTTGCGTGGGTTGTGTGGATTGAATTAACATTTTCATTTTTTTATTATTAAAATTAACTTAATTTTGCAATTTTTTTTTGTTTTTAAACAAAAATTTTAACTAGATTATATTTAGTTTATTTTGTATAGCGGTTATACTGTTGTGTCTTTAGTCTATCGGTTTCTCTTTTTTTTTGTGATTGTTCCGTTGGGTAAAAGCTAACTTTTTTCCCATCAAGAAAATTATTTTTACAAGTATGCTAAATTCAGAAAAAATTCAGCGTCATTTGAGAGGTTGGTATTTGCTAAGTTCGTGAAAATAAAAAATCAGATAAATCTCACATTAGGCCAAGTTGCTTAACATTTATACATTTTTTTTATGTCGTTTCAGTACATCAGCACAGTAGGGTGTTGAAGAATGCACGCTTTGATCCTTTTGCTAACCTGCGGGATGGCTGTAGCTCATCAACCACTGAAATTTTAACTGCTGAACCCTCAGGTCTTGAAGAATTGATTAGATATAAGGCCATGAATATCCCTGCCAACTACACATCTTTGCTAACCTACTGGCCAAACAATAGCAAAGACTTTACACTTTTCTCAAAGGTTGCTAGACGAGTGTTATGCATCTCTGCCAGTTCAGCACAATCTGAAAGAGATTTCAGTTCAATTGGTCGCACAGTCACAGATGTTCGATCAAGTCTGTCTGCACGGAAACTTGAAGAACTGAAATTAATTAGATGGGGTTGTCGAGCTTCCATATTAGATATTGATAAAGTCCAGCCTTCACTCATTGTGGAACAGTGACTATGAACCAATGAAAAAAAAACTAAGTAAAATATTAATAACATTTGAATTTTAATTAATTTTCATGTTATTTTATGACACTTGTAGTGTGATCACTTTACCAGTGTATTTTATTTTAAATATAAGCCTTTATTTTTGAGTTCTGCGTTTTAAATATTATTTGTAAAAGTTTGACTGTTGGTTAAAATTGCGACTTGTGAAGATGGTGGATTGGGTCGGGTTGCGATTTTGCATTTTCAGGCGGGTTGGGTTTGGATGGACTGAATTGAATGATGGGTTGGGTCAGTAAAAATGGACCCATGTCCACCTTTGGTTTGCTTATTTCTCATTTGCTATTTGTATATTTAAACATGTTAGAAAAAGAACAGTTTTAAGAATTCAAGATTTACGCTATCCTTTTAGTGGAAAATGAATTGAGAAAATTTTGGTTGAAGAACTACCAATCAAATTGACCTTAAATTTGTTAAACAGCAGGGTTTTTTGTTTTTTTTTTAGTCTTTATTACTGCAGCTCTGACATATGCAGAACCACTTACAATGTTACAGATATATTATCTATATATCTTTATCTTCATTTCTTTATCCATTGATTTGATGCAACCATCTTCGCCACAAAGGCTGTTCATCTTTTTCACACGACGTACACATGTATTTATGTGCACGCGTAAGCACCGCATCATATACGTTGAATATGTGATAGCCAGTGAGATGTTTGATGCAACGCGCATTTGAACTACTGAGCCAACTCTCCGGCCAACATGCGACAACTTACGTTGTCTTTTCATTTACCGATCTTGGAAGGATGGACGGCTGGGTTAGCCGAGGGTCGGATGAACCTGCAGAAACTGCAATATTCGAACCCGAGTCGTGAGAGTGGTAGACAGACGCGTTAACCACCCGGCCACGAATTTTGAATGTCATATATATCATAAATAAAAGAATGCAGACATGTTTAAAATTTACTCTACCTTCGTGTGATAAATAATTAAAAATACAAATATTTTGATACCTAGTGGATAGATCTCGTAAAAACATATGCGTAGATGTTGAATTTAAACATTTATTAATTCTGGATTTTATATTATCAAATAAAAATTTACTTTGATGTAGGCTCACAACAACGAATGAAGATTTTTTTCTCTCGATGCTCAGTTTATTGCAAATGCATCTAATTGATATGATGCACAACAAAAATATAGGAATAGCAACCAGGCAGACTACTATTGTACGGTTTATTTTTGCTGATGCCATCTCTACAATTTTACAGCGGATGAATGATTTTATGAAAAATTTGCAAATTTTGTAAAGTTTAAAAATAATCAAGATTTTTAAAAAATAATCTTTTTTCTATAAAATAGAAAAACATATTTTATTAATAAGTTGACAAAATAAGGTACTAAAAGTTTGGCATTGTCCAGTTGTTCTATTGATTAGTGGTTGATTATTTTTGCACAAACATTGAGATGATATTTGTCTGTTAGATAATTCAGGATGACAGATCAAGTCTCCACAATTACCGTTTTCGATTAAACAGTCTAATTTAAAAAAAACATATTTATTGTCTCATTAATTATTAGCAATGCGGTTGTGACCACAAGAAAATTACATAAAAATCGCAAGAGAGCTAGACCATCATATAAACTAACACTAATACAAATTGTTATACATTTACAAAGTTTCATAAGCCAACGCTCTCTATCACAGGCATTTATTTTAAATTTTAAAAAATATTTATATATGCCTATGTGTCAGGTCGAAAAATACAATGTCTGGCATGGATGCTGCATAATGGTTGGCAAGGTAGTGCAGTATATAGCGGTTATCAAGGTGCTGTTATTTTCTTAGTTGCAGTGATGGACAACTAACTGAATATTTGTGGTTAAACTATAACTATTTTTCAACTAAAAATAAGTAGTTCAACTATAGTTGCAATTTTATTTTCAAAATATTTACTTAAACTAAAAAAAGTAACTAAACTTTTCCAAACTATTTTGCAACTATTTTTACATTCATTTTTTGACAGGTAGAAGTATGAATCAGCCTTAACAACAAGCCATGTTGTTTACAGTTATTATTTCAGAATAACTCAAAGAAATAAATTTAAAGGAAAAGACCAAAATAAAAACCTTTCTAATAGTAAAGCCAGTAGCACTTCTCTAGCACAACATAGTTTAAAAAACTTTTAGAAAAATCAAACACATACATTTGCTAAAATGAAATTTAAAAAAACAGAACACGTCGAATCATTTTTTACAGCAAATTCAGTAATATATTGACTTGAAAAATTTTCATAGCCTTATATTTTCAGTTTAACTTTAAACAGTAAAGTGCCTCGTATAAACAACTTCAGAAAATCAAGTATGTTCATTTAATCCTAAACTGAAGAAACACTAGCTTATCGTTATTCAGAGTTTTATCTAACATCCGACAGCAGCGCGCACTGAAAACTCGTGAAGCAACGCTGAATAGTCTTTCAACAGCAGCTGAACTGGGTAGTATAGCGTTGCTTTTATGGAATGCCTCCACAACAGCCGGATATGCCAGCAGGCTGTTGACATTATCAGACTTAGAAGCTAGGTATCTAGAGATCTGCATTGAAAATTAAAATCTGTTGCTTAATATACATGTTTAACATACACAAGTTAAGATTTTATAAATTCTCTTTTATACAAAAATAACATCTTAAAATAAAAATAAATTATTTAATTATTAATGCCACTGCTGTACTAGATTGGTCAGTTGTCTTGAGGAAGCTGTAGAGGTCTTCATTGTCTGAAGCTCCTTCCATTGAGACACTTTCAAATGGTACCTGTGCTTGTACTGATTTTGCTATCTCTTGCTGGATTTGTTGCACAAATATCAGCAACAAGTGCCTTGCTTGCATACGCGTTTGGTCGTCAGTTAAGAATGCCAACTTGAATCATGGATGAAGAATTGTGGCTATGCGGTGCTCATCGCTTTCTACAATACTGTCTGAAATCTTTTTCTAATTCCTTTCGTCAGTGCTGTGGTGAGAAGTTGTGTTTAGGGAGGCAAAAACAGCACAATGCACTAAAATTTGTGCCATCTTTTCCCTTTAGCTGTGCGTCTTCCGTCTTGGTAACACATTTAAATTAGAAAGCTGTTCATTTTTGTTGTAATTGTAATTATTAATAAAACCAGCCATAACATGTCTGTAAATTTAGAAACAATCATACAGTAAATAATACAAATAGCACATTTTACTACAAATATTAAAAATCGTAGGCAAAAAATTAATTATTTAATATTATAAAATTAAAATTGAGAAAAAAATCGTAATATTAGCAATGTAAAACAATAGGTGCGCAAATATCCGATTTTTCCTTTGAGCGCTTTATAACTTTATTTAAAATAAAAAACACTTTTGTTTTTAAAAAATGCAAACTTTAAAGATTGAAAAACACTAACCACTTGTGTCGTCGTATTTTACGAAAAGGACAAGATAACATACAATTAGATGAGTAAAACCAAAAACATTAAATGTAAACATTAAATTGATCTCTCTTTTCAGTAAACAATAGATCGCGACCTGATTTGGCGAATAAATAAAAGCTAACTAACTGGTCACCGAGTTAGCTCAGTCAGTAAGTGCCATGTCTCGAGCTGCCATTACGAGATGGCATGGTTCGAATACTGTCTGTTCAAAACTCAAAAACTATCATACCCGTATGATGCGGTGCTTGCGGGTGCATCCATAATGGTTATGTACGTCGTGTGGATGGTATACAGGCTTTGTGGCACGAAAGTTTAATTATAAGTATAGTAACATGTAAGCAGCTCTGCGTTTGACAGAGTTGCATTATAAAGAATAAAAAAAATATTTTGATTAAACTATGTAGTTGTTAACTGAATTATTTTAGTTAAATTATCATTTTAACTTAACTTTTTTTAGTTAAACTCTGCGGGAAACTAAAAAAACCGTTAGACTATTAGTTTGCAACTACTTAGTTAAACTATGCCCATCACTGCTTAGTTGTGCTCATATATGTAGAATAACATATATACGAAATTCCTTATTATCGTTAAGTATACCATGTAAAAGAGAGCCGTAATAATTTTGGGATTTTTGACCATGTAGATTTTATTTTATATAATTCTTAGATTTTTAAAAATTGGTTAGAAGTTTACGCCTTCATTTTTTTTATTATAATGTATTATTAAACTCTTTTTGTGTTTTCATACATTCTAATTAACGTTAATATAATTTCAGAATTTATATTCTATAAATATGCTATATTAACTTGTAAAAAACGCAACAGTCTATCATTTTGCACAACGTATAAATAGTTAAAATTTAAACACAATGCTATTCACAATTATAGTTCTTAATTATTACGGCCTCCTGGTGTGCATGGTATTTTCGGCTGCTCAATGTTACAAATGGCTGATTTCCTATATATGTATATTTTCTGTTTATGGTTGTGCTATAATCTGATTTAAGTTTAAAGATAACACAAGTTCATTCTATTAAAATCACAGAATAATCAAAGTATTCCTAGCAATTTATCTTCAATAATTCTCAAATAAATAATTAACTTTTATTGATTCTAAAAAAAGATCTTTATTTAAAGTTATTCTAAGTATACGGATCAAATATACTAATTGAATTTTGAGTATGTATCAATAATATTCAATGCAGCAAGTTGGTATAGCAAAATCTTACGCAAAACAATAGAAAATAATATAACGTTTTATGATTCATATCAATTAAACGAGTCGTTTTGTTATAATTATAAAATTGGTCTTGCACGAAAGCTTTCACGAAACACTCACAGAAACTCAAAAAATTATCATAATACGCCGCGCGCGGATGTTGCGGTGCTAGCGCGTGCATTCAAAATGTGTGCGTACGTAGTTTGTTGGGAATAATGGATAGCACAGCATTTCTGGCATGAAAAGTCCAAGTACAAACATGTTCTGAGTTTGAAAGAGCTTTAAGAACGAAAAAATAACATCGCATGCAATATTACGGAAAAACGCTTTTTTAAATGCTTGCAAGTAAGCCTACCTCTTTTTTCACACCAGTTTCCGGTATATCCTGGCAAGCACTCCATTGGCTTGCAAGAATCATTAATCAATTTGTTTTCTTCATTTAAGCAAAAGTTGTGTTTTTTCACAGCACTGTTCAAATCTGGTTTTGAAGTTGCTTAAATATTTGATTTAATTTATTACATTTGTTAATAAATACTGAAAATTATATGAAAAAATTAAAGTCCGTTTAAACTTGAAGAAAACCTACTTGCGTAAACAAGAATATATTGTGAGTTAATATTCTTACATAGCTGTATTGAAATCTGTCCATATAAAGAGACACTGTTTCCGCAATAACATTTTGCATGGCCCTTTTGAATTTCATTCATTTATAACAATTTGTTTAGCATAATTTTTTACATTAATTATAACTTGTATGAATGTTAAAATTTTTTTAACACTTGCACTTTGGTTGGGAAATTGAGTCAATATAAGACAATTAATTGACAAAATTTGTTAAAACTTGCGATTATACTTCGATTCCCATAAAAGCAGACAGATTTTTTTTGCATAACGTCTTACAATCTTCAAATGATGAAATAATTTTCGTGTGTTTGTTATTGAATTTTACTTTCGTGAAGCAACCATACAGTGAAGCTTGGTCAATGTATTCTGTAGTAAAATTTGTTTGCTTGTTCATTTGTTAGTTCAACCGTTTATTTTTTCATTTATTATATAATTTATATTGGACATTACTTGTTTGTTTCTTCATTAGTTTCCTATTTTATTTTCGTTGTGTGTTTGTTGTTTGTTTAAATTATTTTTGTTTTGGAACATTTGGTCAAATAATTTGCATATTAATTGACTAATTTTTGCATGAAATACTACAGTTGTTTATATGTAACTTTTTAAGTATTTGCTTTATTGGTAATATATATTTTGTTATAATTTATAGTGTATATTTTATTTTACAAATAATAAATCATTGTCACAAGGAGTTAGTTATTTGTTTCAGTTTGAGTTGGTTAACTGTTTTTTGATATGTTACTATTTTTTTCATAATATTTTTTACTATATTTATAATTTACTGTCTTTGTTAGCTATTTAATTGCGTTTTTAATATCTTTTTTCAAATCTATAGACTTAAAGGTAAATAGGTTCACGAAATTTTAAAATTTAATTTCATTAACATTAACATATTTTGTATTAACAATTTTAATTTTTATTTAGTTATGTTATTCAGTCATAAAACGTGAACTAATCTAGTTATATTACGTCAAAGGTATTGTCAGAATTATGAAATAATACTGACTAAAAATACTTCAAAGTCCTTCAACACAAAATTAATTCACTCGATAGGTGGCTTGATGCAAAGTTAATTCACTCGATAGGTGGCTAGATGATTTTTGTTCAGGATGAGGTTTTTTTGCATTTAAAAATTATTTTAAAAATTGAATTAGTAGTTTTTGTGATTAATTTGACCTTGGGAAATTCTTATGTTTTAAAAAAACACCTGAAACAAAATTTAATTTTGCTTTGATATAAGGTTTTCTTTATCTTTAATAATGAGAGAGTCCGCCTTGGGTTGACTGGTTAGGCAGCCTTAAATAATCGGTGCCTATTCTGGTATCTAAGAGACTTAATTCGTGACTCTATGCTCATTGGCATAGTTTCAGAAACGTCTTAAATTCTCGAAGAGAGTTCGCCTTGGGTTCACTAGTTAGGCAGCCTCGAGTAATCGGTGCCTATTCTGGTATCTAAGAGACTTAATTCGTGACTCTATGCTCATTGGCATAGTTTCAGAAACGTCTTTGTTTTCAAAGAGACTTGCTGGTTGGTTAGGCAGCCTTGAATAATCGGTGCCTATTCCGCTATCTAAGAGGCTTAGTTCATGATTTTATGCTCATTGGCATAGTTTCAGAAACGTCTTAAGTTCTCAAAAGTGGATTTGGTACGAGACTCTATGCTCATTGGCATAGTTTCGCACGCGTACAAAAGTCACACAATTTGTTCCAAATGTTGTTCTGACTTTTGTTGCTTTGTGTTGGTTCTGCGAAAGCCAACCAGACTCGACGGCCCAGTGAAAATAGGCCAGGGTTGTGCGAAAGCCAACCAGACTCGACGGCCCAGTGAAAACTGGCCAGGGTTGTGCGAAAGCCGACCGACCGACTGACAGGCCCAGTGAAAACAGGCCTTGGATTCTGTGAAAACAAATCCGCCTCGTTGTTTTGTTTTTGTTGTGCTATTTGTGGACCTAGGGTTCTTTGCTGGATTCTATACTCATTGGTATAGTTTCGCACGCAGCTTGGAATTTCCATAGGCTCGGATTTTTGTAATTTTTCTTCATTCATTTCATTTATCTCTCGGAGTTGTATCAATACCACCATCGGTCACACACGTCGAGGTTGTAAGATTGAACGGCAAGAAACATATCACAAGTTGCCCGACTCCAACAAAAAGAAGTTTTAATTTCTGTATTCCAGTTTGTTCATTGACATTATTTTTAACATTATTCTAGAGTTCAGTTAGTTCAATTCCTTTTCATTTATTTTTGTCGATTAATAAAATTGTTATCGAATATTTTACGCGTTCGTGTGTTACTCAGTAAAATCATATAATTCGAAAAAGCCTAGTGCCACACAGGACTGGTCGAACTCACGATGAAAATATACAAAAATAATTTTCGGACCATAAAAAAATTCCCTGAGAAAAATAGACAAAAAGATTACCTCTCTTTCGCACATCACATCACATCCTAATTATTCACCCTTATAATCAGCTAATCGAACCAATCATTTTACTGAAACGCCTTTACTTCTTATCCTTGGTAATGTATTTAATTCATGCAACAATAAAGAAACCACAATTGTTGCTGGACTGAACCTGTCAGCTGTCTTCGACACCATCAATCATGATATATTACTTCGTTGCCTGGAAGTGGAATTTGGTGTCAAGGATTCCGCCCTTTCCTGGCAATCTTCATATCTTCATACTTAACTGGTCGCAATCACTTTGTCAAAATATCCCCACACTCATCTCCAATAATCTATCTGTTTCATGGTGTCCCACAGGGTTCTGTACTTGGACCATTCTTATTTACAGCTTATATCTCAACTATCGCCAGGATTATTGAAAATTATGGCATGCGTTACCATCAGTATGCAGACGATACTCAACTCTATATTTCATCAAACGTTAAAGATCTTCCTTCAAATACCAACATCCTTACCACATGCATCGCATCAATGGAAGAATGGTTTCTACATAACTATCTAGAATTCAACTCCAAAAAACCGAACCCATAACGCTGGGGTCTTTTAACTCAATAAATAATTTACATAACTTAACATCAGTCCAACTAGGAAACACCTTAGTCCCAATATCTGTCACACTAAAGACGCTTGGATTAGTCCTAGATAAAAAATTAAGTTTTTCAAATCACACTACGTCTATAGCATAATCCTGTAATAATCATTTAAGAGAAATACGACATATTAGATATTTTTTTCTACCGCTTTGGCTAGTGATCTGGCACGGTGTTTGATATTGTCCAAATTGGACTACTGTTATATGGAATATCTAAAAGTCAAAAATTACGTCTCCAGAGAATAATGAATAAAGCCGCTAGAGTAGTACTCAATTCAAATACACCGTTACATCGTCTGTCATCAACAACCTCGTCGATTTTAATGAACCTCTATGGCTTCTATTTCTTTTTCGAGTTTTATTTAAAATAGCTGTCATCGTCTTTAAATTTTCAATCTTGCATTTTTTTGTCGTATCTCGGTGATCTTCTACATAGTAATACAAACAATCGTCAACTTCGCTCTGCCATCGCTCAACGTTTTCATCAGCATAAAACAACAAAAAATATTGTTGGTCGTGTGTTCCGACATGATGCTCCTCACGTTTGGAATTTGCTTCCGCCAAAGATTAGGAACTGCAGCTCTGCACAGTTATTCAAGTCGTCATTAAAAACTTTTTATTTTGATAGAACGTTTTTAAACGTCTGACAGAATGTTTTTTGTTTCGAGGGCGCCTCATTCGCTTGCCAGGGCGCTTTATAAGTCAACATTATCTGAACAAATATTTATGATGTATATATGTATTGAATAATAAATTAGAAAAACTATAGTTGAAATTTAATATTGATATTCATTTCAGTTGCAACTTTTCTATAAGGGTCCGGATTTGGTATTTTGCGAAGTTTTCGGTGAAGGCTTTATCCGATCTTGTTTGTTTGTTTATTATCTGCTTCTCCCAATCAGACCATATAAAAAAATATTGAAAATTTTGCCTATATAAAGGTCGTAGACTTAACATTTTTGGTCATCAAAAAAAGGCCATCACTTTGGAATTTAGAAAATTACCGCAGAATTCAGGAATTGCCAATGTGTGAGGCAACTGAAAACTTGTGATTAGTTTAATATTATGACATGTAGCGACTCATGCAGGGTACAGCTGTAAATATAATATCATGTTAATTTTTTTATTTTGTTTTATTTATTTGTTCATTTAAATTTGAAACTTAACTAATAACACAAAATTTATTACTTCAATGCTACACAAAGTACACCGAATCATATAGTTTACTATAAATTTTAAATTAAATAAATTTTAGCTGCGATGACATTTCGATTGATTACAAGCTGTATTTGTTGTACATTTAACTTAGATGGTGTTTCGTATTTTGATTGAACATCTTTGGTAGTAGGCTACTTTCCATGAAGACAAAATAAAAAATCCTCCTTAAACGATCATTTATTAACTTTATTTTATGGATTGCTTTGTTGTTTGATGCACATCTTGACATCTTGGCTTGTTGATGTTCGATTACTGTTAAACAGACACAAACCACACACACACACACACACACACACACACACACACACACACACACACACACACACACTCAAACAAAATTTAAAATTCTTATAACATTATTACAATAAATGGTATATAACCGTAATTTTAAAGTTCTAATAAAACTACAGTTTATTTATATTTTATTTTTTGCTATATCAGTGTGTTTAATTATTGGTTTAAAATATAGGTATTTAAAATATTGGTAAAATTAAGAGTAAAATACTTGAGTAGACGGAATATTTTAACGATCCCCCGCACACGCCATCGCCATCTGCACATGGAATGCTGCACGATGTACTATTAACTGTTGAGCTAGCTTCATTGACACAGTAACAGTTATTATTCTAAATAAAATTTAGCAATAATTTTTGTAAATACAATACAAAATTTTATTATAACTCATTAAATAACAAACAACTAATAACGTTTGTACTTTTATAACTTTGACAAAAATTCTCAAAGTGTTAACAGACACTCTGGAAAATGAGAATCCAAAACCAGTGTATCTAGATTCTAGATGACGCCAGAAAAAATAAATCAATTTAATAATAATCAAAATGAATAAAATTTTCTGAAAAATGAATAAATATTCAGATAATAATAAACTACAAAAATATAAAAGTTGTAAGATTTGATGAATGAAAATTTGATGAATGAATAACTAAAAAAGTTAAGGAGAGACCAGGTGCGTTTGAGAGCCAGTATGGGTATTAGGGTGTGTCAATTTTATACCGGAAATTGATTTTTTTAGATTTTTAAAAAAGATACATTTTTGTATGCTGAATCCAAATTAACCTTCAGATTTTAGATTTGAAAATTTTTAGCTTGGTAAATTTTATGTTGAAATTTCAGCTAAAATGTTTATTTTCGTAATTTAGGAATTAATTATATAAATCATCGAAAAACGAAAACTAATTTTAAGCAACTACAAATTTTATATTTTTATTAAATACTGAAATAGTATTAGCATTATATACAATGTCTAATCAATGTTATGTCAATTACAAAGTAGACAGTTTCACAGCTTACAAATGAAAATTATTTCCAAATTTTACGAGATTGTACAATGTACATGTCCTTCTTGCTCGCATTTCTACTCATTAGATGTCTGCTGACGATCTGTGATCTAATATATCCATCTCTTCTTTTCTGACTGTAGACATGTTCACTTGCCTCTGTAACCATCTTGACACATCTCTCAATAATTTGAATGTGTGAGGGCCAGTCTGAGACTATCATTGGAGTGTGCAAAAATTGTTTGACTTGAGCCGTTGTTAAGCTACAAGTTAGAGGAGATTCATACATTTCAGAATCCCAATGAATGAGTTCAAATAGACTGCTGGCATCAGGATTGATCTCTGGCGTTACCTTTTGTCTTAAACTCATATCCCTCATCTAAACATTCTCATCTGCATTTTCTCTGATTTCAAGAATTTTCTATTGGGTATTCTATTTATATGATATTCATTCTATCAAAATAAACAGATTGCAACAACAGTGTTAATAAGACCATAGCAAACTTATTGGAAGAAGCAAAATTGATCAACGACAAATTAAAAAAACAAAAAAATCAAATGAAAAATATTAAAAGTATTAATTAGTATTTTCATGTGCATCAATTGGTCAATCGAATTTTTGATGAGATTATGTATTTGCCATTTAACTGGAGTGTCGGTGTTGGAGTCGGAAATTTTCGCCGAAGTTGAAATTTTTTGAGGAGCCAATTCTGAACTTTATTCATCCTACTCTGAAAAAATAATAACTTTGAAAAAAAATTTTTCTGAATTTTGTTAAGATCATGTTTTTTTAAGACCGGTTAAAATGTGTACTCCAGGGTAACCCATGTTCGCTATTACTTTTCATCTTATGTTTCAGCCCGCTAATAAAAACTTTTGAAACTCGAGAGTACACTAGTTAAAGATATTTTTCTTTTTTGAGTGAAAGCTAAATCCTGGCTTCAATTTGCTGATGACTCGGCAACTATTACCCACAGTTTGGAAGGCATTCAGAAGGTAATCGATTTGAACTATGCATGGTGCAATTGGTCAGGCATGGTTATGAGAATAGACAAATGCAACTAATGTAGCTAATTTGGCATGAGAGAAAAAGACGGAGCTTAGAAACAATTCTTTCCAAGGCTGACAATCGACAATGATGTTATTCCAAACATCGAAATTGAAAACAGCTTTGTATACTTAGGCAGATTATACGATTTTGAGGGCAGAGACGTGAAGACCAAAAAAGTAATCGTTTTAAAATTGACCAAATTGCTGGAGACCACATCAGTTTTAGATATCAAGCCGCAAAAAAACTTCAAATATTCCAATATTTCATCCCCACACAGCTACAGTTTGAATTTTGCCGCTATAATTTTTCAACAAGATGGATATTGTCCAACTTGGATAACCTGATAATAGCTAAAGTTATCTGCGATACATTTGTTACCAACAAAGCTTGGCGGCAATGACACTTTTTCACTAAGAGA